CTTGAAGAACTTTGAGTATATGAATTTTCAAGATGTGAGCTCAAATATGTTTGATCTTTGAAAGATATGAAAGAATATGCAAATAATAGTGTAGAAGCTCTCAAATCATCCTTAAGATGTGTAGGAATAGTGATCTTAACATTTTAGGGTCATAAGAAATATATATTTATAGTGATTTTTTGCAAAACTAGCCATTATAGACTTTCTGTCATAGTGGGAATCAATTCCTATACTTAGGGAATCGATTCCCACCTTTCCAGGAAGAGAGAATCGATTCCCAACCTGTTGGAAGGCTGGAAATTCGACAACAACAACACTATTTCGTATTTTGAGCATAACTTGAGCTATTCTTGTCGGATTGATGTGATCTTAGTCTTGTTGGAAAGATAAAAGAAAGATCTACAACTTATATTAAGAACAAAAGATCCAAATCCATCATCTTGGATATGAAAAATTGTATGGAAGGAAGAGGCGAAATTATGCAACAAATTTTACGTTAAAATGCGCTCTAGCTTGCTTCCAAATCTTGACTTGATAAATATGTTTTGAAGTTATAAATATGTCAAGGATATTTTGCATGGGTTTTTCTAAATTTATTTAAGTATATAAAGGTTGTGATTATGCAATTCGAAAAACACGTTTACTCTGAGAAAAACTTTGAGCTCATGCAATGCAATCTACCATATACTCTCACATATATTCTAAGTCTTAAAGATATATTCTTTTAGACTTAACTTCATGTCTTGTGTCTTGGATCTTTACTTGAGTTTGATGTTTTGACTTGTTGGATATGACAATACTTGACACTTGTTGGTTTTGATCATTTTTCACCATGGTTATGATATTGAGCTTCTCTTGGATGTTGTCAATGGTTTGTTGTCTTTGATCTTGGTGTTGCTCTTCTAATTATTCCTTGTTGCTCTTGGTTCACTTATCTTGCCACTTTGATATGACATTACTCTTCTTGTGTGGCTAAATCATACGTCTTCAATATTCACATATGGTTGATGTTTTTTGCTCTTGATCAATGTTCTTCTCTTTTTGTTGTTGTCACTTTGTTATCATAAAAAATATACCTTGTATCTACACATGCATTTGGATTATGTAATTGCTATAAGCATTCTACTTTGTGTTTGTTTTTTTGTTTTAATCATTGGTGTTTGGATAATAAGATGTTGGTGGGGTGGGGTATTGTTATTGCCGGATAATTTTTTTATCAAATCCATTAGGATTGTACTAAATTTAATTTATTGAACTAAATTTATATTAAATCATATAAAAACACAAGTAAATTTTTAAATAACAAAATTATATATTTATTTAGTATAAATATAGATAAATGAATTCGAGCCATAATATATATATATATATATATATATATATATATATATATATATGGGGCAGAATCCTCTAACACCGGTGTCAAATTTAAAATTTGACACCTCATCTGAGAGTTGTTAGATCAAAAAAGATCAATGACTCTGATTTGTAAGCATGTGACGCCATTGATCTTTTTCGATCTAACGGCTCATAGATGAGGTGTCAATTTTTAAATTTAACATCGGTGTCAAGAGATCCTACCCCTATATATATATATATATATATATATATATATATATATATATATATATCTTATTTGAACCTTATAATAAAATGTTAACTATATATAAAAAGTTATTTTACATAACTATGATTATGTTATTTCTTTCTTTCTACTTCTCACTTTATTAATATGATTAGTACACAATAAATTATATGAGTTGCATAATATATGTAACTTATAACATATTTCTTATTCATAATATTATTGAAGAAGAGTTTGGTAGAATGGTCTTTTAATATTACCACATTCAACTTCAACTACAAAGTGTTTGTAGAATATCAAACGTAGTAACTCAAATATTTGTCAACTCTTCATCTAATATATATGTCACAAATACACACACCTTAGAAAGTCTATTTAGAGGCAACTATAGAAAACATAGATAGATAGTAATCTAGACGCAATTATAAAACTTTTTTTGTGTGGATAAATATAAAAACCTATTATATGCTTATATAAAATGCTGACAGTTAGAGGTGGCAAAACGGGTTCAGCACGGAGGGCCGACCCACCCCCCACTGCCAACACTTTTTTTTCTTATATTTACAGTCTAACAAACCTGTCTCTATCCAGACTGTGATAAATGAAAGATCATCTCCGAGAAATACTAAAAGAAGTCGAGTCAAATATTATAATGATTAATTTTTAATGAAAAAATAAAGAAAAACATATATCCACAATTTTTTTAACTATTTATCATTAAACTTCAAAGGATACAAAATTTCGTATGATATTTGAGATGAAATAATCTATTTCCTTATATTTTCTTTTAACTCTTTTTTTTTAAGAATCTATATGTAAAAAGGAATGTCATTCTTTGACAAGTTTGTTGACATGTCGCTCTCTCCTTCAATATTCACTTTGTGTTCACACTCGAAACCATTTAAAATCTTTCCTTCTTTTGTAAATTTTTAAATTCGAAATTTAAACTTCATATAAGTGGGAAAATAGTTCAACATTAATTGGTGACAAATATCTGTATTAACATCCACTACTTTTTTAAAATTTGAATTTTAAACTTGATATAGGTGGGGAAAAGTTCAAAATTATTAGGTGACAAACATCTGTATTAATATCCCACTACTTTTTTAAATTTTGAATTTTAAACTTGATATAGGTGGAAAAAAAAAGTTCAACATTTTTTGGTGGCAGACAACTATATTAATATCCCATTACTTTTTTAATATTTGAATTGTAAACTTGATAAAGGTGTAAAAATAGTTCAATATTTTTTAGTGGCAGACAATTATATTGATATCCTACTACTTTCTGCATGGGTAATTGTAAATCCTATTAATGTTGCATAAAAATAAAAAATAATAATAAAGAATCATTAAAAAAGGAATTTTTTTGTAAAAAGTGAATATGTGTTATTGGATCTTTTCATCTGGTATTCAGCTTATGCGCACATATTTCTTCTATTTTCTGTCTGTTTATCTTCTTCATATTCTTAAGTTGTTCTTCTATTAAATGAACATGTAATATTTTTTCTTTTTTTTGGCAGCTCTGTATATATATATATATATTAATTTTATACTTATGTAATTAAGCTAATAAATGGTCTTTTGACATTATCTCATTCAACTTCAACTATGAAGTGTTTGATAGAATGTTAAACGTACTAATTTAAATATTTGTCACAAATATTTAAATTAGAAGCATATATATATATGTCACAAAGACACACACCTCAGAGAGCCGATTTAGAAGTAACTATGAAAAATAATAGATAGATAGTAGTAATCTATACGCAACAATAAGAAATTTTTTGTGAGTGGATAAATATAAAAATATATTACACGCTGATATAAAATACTGACAGTTAGAGGTGGCAAACTGTGCTCCGGCCCGACCCACCAACACATTTTTATAATTAAATTAAAATTTCACCCTTCTTCTTTTTTAATTAAATTCCTAAATATGATATCAATTTTTTTAAATACAAATGTGTGAAATTCAAAATACTAAAGACACAAATACTTGTAAAAAAATAATTATTTATATAAAATGTTGACAGTTAGAGGTGGCAAATTGGACTCAGCTCGAAGGGCCGACCCGCCAACAAGTTTTTATAATTAGATTAAAATTCCACCTTCTTTTTTTATAATTAAATTCCTAAATACGATTTCATTTTTTGTAGATACAAATTTGTAAAATTTCAAATACTAAGGAAACAAATTCTTACAAAAAAATAATTATTTACATTAAATACTAACAGTTAGAGCTGGCAAACTGGGCTCGGCCCGGAGGGCGGACCCATCAACACGTTTTTATAATTAAATTAAAATTTCACTCTTCTTTTTTTATAATTAAATTTCTAAATCTGATTTCAATTTTGTATAATACAAATTTGTAAAATTTCAAGTACTAAGGCCACAAATCCTTGCACAAAAATAATTATTTATTCTTATTAATTACTTAATTAAAAGTAATGACCATTCAATGTTTTGCAGTATATTATTATTTTAATCTTATTTATGATTAGTGGTTTCCAGTCGAGTGAGTAATTGACTTTTCATATTCTTCACCAAATTGTTATTGGTAAAGTTGAATTATTATTGAGATTAAATACAATATATATATATATATATATATATATATATATATATATATATATATATACACGTTAATTTTGGGAATGATAATTTATACTTTTGCAATTAAGCTAATGAATGATCTTTTGATATTACGACATTCAACTTCAACTATGAAATGTTTGTTAAAATATTAATCGCAATAACTCAAATATTTGCTAACTCTTCATCAATATATATGTCACAAATACACACATGCCAGATAATTGATTTAGAGACAACTATAGAAAACATAGATATATAGTAATCTAGACGCAATTATAAGAACTTTTTATGTGGATATATATACAAACCTATTACATGCTGATATAAAATGCTGACAATTAGAAGTGATAAACTAGTCTCGGCCCGCCAATATGTTTTTATAATTAAATTAAAATTCTACTATTCTTCTTTTATAATTAAATTCCTAAATCTGATTCAAATTTTGTAAATAAAAATTTGTAAAAATTCAAATATTAATGATCCAAATCCTTGAAAATAATAATTATTTATTCTTATTTTATAAATGTAACTGTGATAAATGAAAGTCTATATATGAGAAATACTGAAAGAAATTGAGTCAAATTTTGTAATTTTTAAATGACTATAGAACAAGTTAAAATACAGAGATATATTTTTACGATTTACATTAATTTTTACGAGACAAATAAATCGAATTTTTTTCTCGTGCAAGGCACCAGAACTACACTAGTTCTATAAAATAATTAAAAAAAAGAAAAGAATTAAGCATACATAAGTTATCCCTATTTTTCTTTTATTGGGTTTTAAAACCCTTAACTCTCTCCATTCCCTCGATTCGGATTCTATCCCTCGCGTCGCAAACAGAAAGGCAGCATTCACCACCGTCGGAACAGACAACATCACCACCAACTTAGTCCTTCCGTCAATCTGTGTGCTTCGAAATGTCGTCTCTGAGGAACGCCATTCCCAGGAGGGCTCACAAAGAGCGCGCTCAACCGTGAGTCTTGTTTTTTTCTCTTACCCAACCCAACTGATATAAAATCATGGGTCTGATTCATTTTTTGGTTTTTCGTTAGGTCCTCGAGGAAAAAATTTGGCTTGCTTGAAAAGCACAAAGACTATGTTCAGCGAGCAAAAGCATTCCACCAGAAAGATGATGCTTTACGGGTAAAGTTTTCTGATTCTTCTCTGCACTCTCTAAATTGTTTTTTTTTTTTTTTTAATTAATTTTTGTTGTGTGTTTGTCCTACAGAGACTTAGGGAAAAAGCAGCAAATAGAAACCAAGATGAGTTTTACTTTAAAATGGTCAGAACAAAAACCGTCGATGGAGTTCATAGACCAGAGTAACAACTTGCTATCCTTTTTTTTTTTTTTTTCTGTGTGGTTGTTGTCTTGTTCAATTGTGTTGACTCGCTGGGATTACTTGTGTAGGAGTGAAGCAAACAAGTACACCCAAGAAGAACTTATGCTCATGAAGACCCAGGATATAGGATATGTTCTTCAGAAGGCTCAAAGTGAGAGAAAGGTGAACCCAAACATTGATTTTCTCTCTTGTTTTATTGGGGTTTTATGCATAAATTTTATTGTAGGTTTACTTTTGAATGTTTTGATCTTCCTTCCAGAAAATTGAAAAACTAACTGCCACGCTGCACTCTATTGATGATCAGCGCTCAAATAAGCATATTTTCTTTGCCGAGGACAGGTTTGAGCTCAAAACTTTCTGGGGTACCATTCTATAACAAGCATGGGTTTATTTTTTGTTTTTTTATGGATATATTATATTAGATTGGTGTGTGATTGGCCTAAGTTTGTATACACCCAACTGTGATAACAGAATGGAGAGGAGGGAAAGGAAACGGAACCCCCTCCTTGATCATCACTGAGAGGGGGAGAAAACTCGTTACAATGGATGTAGGCCACAATGGCTGAACCACTATATTTGCCTTGTGTTGTCCTTTTTTATTATTACGTTTATTTTTTAATAGCAAGCAATGAATGGGGAAGAGCAAATAGGAGGTAGTGGAGGTGAGGTGTAGAAGGAAGGTGGAGAATATAAGTTGGTTACGGTGAGAATAGAGGAGGCAAGCTAGAATTATCTTTCTAAGGAGTGAAGCCACTGGTAGGAGCGTTTCAGTAGCTTGGAGGAACTCTGTACTGTTATAGTTGCTGTGTAATTTTCTAGACAAGGAACTCTACTTTTTTTCTCTGTACCTAGTCGTTGGATTGTACAAGGAGCTCAGTCTACATTTATTTTAAGTAATCAAATTCTGGTGCCATCAGTGTGCTTAATTTTGTATGTGTTGTTTTAACCTTGTCCCTTTATAGTTTTAGTTTTACATTTTTATTGTTACGCCACAAGATGGAAGATTTCAATGCTCAAATTCGACCACTGGTCATTGTAAATGTTTTGCGAAATTCACTCACTTCCTATTTCAAATGTATAATGTAGTTTATACTTAAGCCTATGAACTTGATTAGGATGTTTGTTGATGCTGGTTGAGGATCAAAAGTAGGAGATGGTGTTGTGTGATGTGAATAGGGCATTAGAAATTATAAAACAAGTAAAAAGAACAAACTTCGGACTAATTTAGGGGGGATAGTACCATAATGTATCAAGCCTATGGTTACTATTTGTTTCCGAGACGTAAAATGGAGGATGAATTATGTTAAATATGTCATTATGGCTCTGATAGGAAGGATATAGTGTGCAGTTTCAAGTGGTTGCTTTGCAATTACTTTTATATATATATATATATATATATATATATGAGGTAGGATCCTTTGACACCAGTGTCCAATTTGAAGTTTGACACCTCATCTGAGAGCCATTAGATCAATAGTGTCACATGCTTACAAATCAGAGCTATTGATATTTTTTGATCTAATGGCTCTCAGATGAGGTGTCAAACTTCAAATTTGACACTGGTGTCAAAAGATCCTCTCTCTCTCTCTCTCTCTCTATATATATATATATATATATATATATATATATATATATATAAATATTTAAGCTTCAAATCAATTTGCAAATGCTATTTAAGATGGAGTAATGGTATAAGGTCCCTTCATTTGGTAAACTCTTTCATTTTTTCTGGGATATAATGTAATTTTCAATTTATTGATTGAGATGTTATTATTCCACCTCTTCTGCCTTTCCCCTTCTTCTTTCTTCTTTAGAGTTACATTGTGTGTGCATAATTGTAGATTTTATTCTCATTCCTTAAATTTATTCTGAATGAATAACTTTTTAATCATTGCCCATACATATGCAGGGAAGAGGCTAAAGAGTTACAATCACAATATCCAAGAAGTCAAATTCCACTTACATCTGATGATATTCCTGCTAACATTAAGAGGTACAGCCCTGAATCTGGTTTTAAAGACATAGGTTGATCCCTTTTTCGTTTTGTTTGATGTCTCTGAGTTAAACATTATGTTAAATAAAATTTCACTCTGAAGCTTTTCAGGGATTTGTTGTACCAAATAATTTTTTGTTCTCTTTAATGCACTTTAAGCTTTTTAATTTTAGTAAACATCTTAATTGCAATGAATGCTAACAGTGTTAGGATGTTTTGTGCAGTAATGTTTTGTCTCAAGAGTCTTAGCATTTTTTTCATCGGTATTGGGTTCATGGAAATGGTTGGTTAACATAATTACTTCTGAATTTTTTTTAGCTTATTTCATTGAAAGAAAATACAGCTCTTTCAATGAAGTTCTGTCTGGGATATTGATTCAGAATTAAGACTATGTCCTTTGCTATGAAGCCTCAGAAGCAGCCACCCCCTATTCTAAAAGTTTTGGGGATGTGGACATGACAGAAGTGTTTAATGTTACATGTTTCATGTATCTTATTGTGGTATTTTTTATTGACAACCCACAATCCTGGAACCTTGAAGTTTTGAGAACTGGAGTTTTATTCAGAAAGGATGATTAATATTTTAGCCAAAAAAAGAGATAGATAAAAAAAAAGGAGTGGTGATAACAATTATGGTCTGATTAATTGCTATCAGCTATTTGGACATATTTCAGGATTTCATGTTGGGTTGAATCTGTTGTAATATTGCTCAAGGAAAGCCAGCTTTACTTGTTTTATAATGTATTGACTGTTAAGAGATGTATTTCTCGTCTATATTACTATTGCTACTTCCATTTGTTCTTTCCTGTCCTGATTTCTGGCACCAAGTCAGATTGATAGAAAGTTACTTTCTTTCTTGCACAGGAAAATAGATCGTTCTTACAGTGAGTTGGAAGCAAGGAAGAATAGACTCAGCCAGCTAGAGAAAATTTACATGGATATGGCAATGCAGAAGGAGTTGCAGGTATTGACATTTTCCATTTCCTTATTGTGATTCTGTTTTGAGTCTTAACATATGTAGAATGCTTAGAAAGGATATTTCGTCTATGAACAGAAAAAGGGTAAGAAGCGCAAACTACGGGAAGATGAGATTGTCTGTCCAACCACTAAACCAGTATACAAGTGGCGTGCTGAAAGAAAACGTTGAAAAGAGTTAATAAATAATAGTTCGAGCTGCTTCTTTTATTCTTTTTGTTATTTACTGTTTAGCATAACAATTAAATACTTCAGGGTTGAGATTGTAGGCGGAGAATTTACATGTCTTACTTGAAGCAGAATTGAAAGAGAACTTACATGTCTAGCATCTGAATTGAATGTCTTACATGAAGCATGTTAAGTGGGATCACAACTGATGCCAATAATTGTAGCTTTCGATGTTCTACAACTATACTTTGCGAGTCTTACAGGTAAATTGAATTCAAGTTTCTATTCATGTTGTATTGTGTTACTATTCTTGTAATATACCAGTGCCATGTTGCTGCAAGTGCTATAAAGCATGATTACAAGACCTCTACGAATACAAATTTACAAAACGAATGGTGATCAGTTTCATAGACGTTCAAACAACTAATTGGCCTCTTTTTTGTTTTTTTCCCCCCCGAGTATAATATATTTCATTCCTGAAATATGTTCAAATATACACTACTTCTCTCTATTGTCACAATTTATACTCATTTCTTTTGACATGAAATGTGTTACACTTTAATCTATTTTAATGTAAATGAACATCTTAGTAGTAATAAATAATAGGGTTAAACATTTCTTCTTTTGTTATATAAATTTTTTCTTTGTCACACTCGTATAAAAGTGAGTAGATTTCATTGCAAAGAGAAAAAATTAGCAAGATTCACTCGGTTTTATGAGTGTGGCAGACAAAAAATTTCTGTAGGAAAATGCTTTTCCTAAATAATAATGAACAAGCTTTTTTGAATACTTTTCCTCTGCAATTTATAGTGTCCCTGCAATTAATCTTGAATATTATATTATCGATTTGAATATTTTAGAATATGAAATAAATTTTTAATTGTCCTTATTATTTATTTGTAAATTTCACTAAAAATCTTTATTTTATTTTTCAAAGTCTGAGAGTTAATGCTGAAGGTAAAAGACTAGCTGCAAATAACATGGCAAATTGCGGAGAAAAATTAAATGTCCCTTAGACACTCGTTTAAGTTGGGTACACTCAATAGTCAATAGGCTAGTATTTAGCTTACACTCTCGCAAGTCGCAATGACCTTGAATTATAATCATTAGTACTTACATTGAGTATCAGTTAACACTAAAAGAGCAAAGGAGCATTCAACGTTGTATTCCAAATTAAATAAATAATAAGCTTAATTATATAAGGGTTAAAAGTTTGTCCATTTAAATGATATAACTTATGTCTTTTAGCAATTTATAACTATGTAATAAAGGTAGTACATAGTTATAATATTATTGTTGTATTTTATTTTTTTTATTTTTTTACATAAGCAAATAGTATCTAAAAAGAGAGAAAAAATAAAATTTTAATATGATAATTGTACATGGTTATAAATCGTAAAGGACAAATCATTTTCCCATTATATAATGCTTAAATTATGAGGCTCTCATCCAGCATTTCAAGCCTCTCTTCATTCTTTATTAATGAAAATGTTATGTTTGGAAAAGAGCTACACATTTGAATTCTGGATATAACTCTAATCCTTTGGAATATCATACTTGACATATGATTTTTTTTAATATGAAAAATAGGCAAGGTTATACTTACTATTATTTTAATCTTATCACGCTTATTACCTGACTAATTATCATTGATCAATTTAAAATCAACTGTTGAAAAAGAAAAAAATAGTTACTGTTGATTTCAAATTGATCCAACAATATTTAATCATGTAATAAAGATGATAAGTCTAAAATGATAATAAATATAACAGTCTTATGAAAAATTATGATGTTGAAATACATTGAAAACGTTTCTCTATTTCTAACCTTTCGGTTATCAAATGGCCCGATTCTAAAATAGTAACTTCACTTTTTAATTATTATTAATTTAGTTACACTTTAATTGTGAACTTATTTATTTTTAAACAATGATGAAATCGAAATTCAAACTACATCAGCATGCAGCTTATTTTTAAACCCAGGGCAATGAACAAGCTTCGGCCTACGATGACTAATTGACTATCTATGTTGCATCGATATCGATACGGGACACGACATGATACGCTAACACGTTAATTTTAAAAAATATTATATTTCGACATGTTAAGACACATTTTGATATTAAATAATATTTTTAATATATATAATATAATTTATATTTAATACATATAATAGCCCATAATAAGTAATATAAATAATCAAATATTCAAATTTCATAACATAAATATAAATAAAAGTAATTTTTCATACATTGTTAATTTTTTATGTCAAACTTCATAACAGAAAAAAAATTGATTTATAAGTTATTTTTTTATATTTAGTTAATAAAACAAAATTTAGACAAAAAAAAGTGTCAGGAGCGTATCAAAACGTTCGCGTGTCGAAAAAAATTGACTGCGTGTCGAAATGTATCGGAGCATTGACCACGTGTTCCAAAATATTGACCACATGTTAAAACGTGTCAGTATCCAACACACGTATTTATTTTGAAGTTTTTGAGTGTCCGTGCTTCATTGATTAGTATAACATGCAACTTATAAAGCATCTTGCAACCTGAACCAAGAAAAGGTTTGTGTCCAAATCCCTTTCTTCCCCAGATTCGTAAATGGCATCATATAATACCAAAGTGTAGCCACAATCTCTCACTCAAACCCAACCTTATCTAATTATCTTTACCCGTTCCACCAACAGTTAAAAGACAGTAAAAAAATTAATATATTATTATTTTAATAAAAAATTATAAAAATATAATCATTTTAAATTAATTTAGAAATTTATTGCACTTAATTTTATCTAATTTAGACAAAAGTACTCTCACATAGTTTGGACGAAATACTCTGACCAGTCTCATCCCATTGGGGCGAGACTCAGCTAAGTTGATTAACGCTCAAAAAGTTGACCATTTCTGGCATTATTCTTCAAGGAAAAAAGTGAAGTTGATTAATCAAAACACAAACATTATATATATCAACACACACTGCTTCCAGGAAGGCAGGTTCGTCCCATTGAGCGTGTTTTTTTTTTTTCTAGGAAAACTCGAGATTTTATACTTATTTTTAAGAGAAAAGTTATACTTAACACTTATTTTTGTTTACAACCTTTTACTAGCATATCTTAACACTGTTGATTTTCGTCAATCAACGGTTATTATTTTTTCAAATTAAATTCATTAATTAATTATTAATTCAAAATAAATGATAACCGTTGTTTGACGGAAATCAACGATTAAGATATGATTGTAAGGGGTTATAAACCAAAATAGGTTGTAAGTATAACCTTCCTCTATTTTTAATTATTGATCTATTGTATTTAATGGCTCTCATAATTAATAAATAATAGTCATTACATATAAATATAATCAATAATCAAGATTAAAAGTATAATTATATTAATATAAAATGATCTTGCTTATATATATGTAAAAATGTTTCTCCTGTCACAAGAGATAAAATTATCTCCAGCAATTCCAAAATTACGTTATTTTGGAGATTGAGAGAATTAATGAAGGATATTTTAGAAATTTTGTGTGTTTTTTTGTTATAGAAACTTTATCAAAATATCCTTTATTAATTCTCTTAATTCCAAAATGACATAATTTTAGAACTGCTGGAGATAATTTTATATTTTTATCTCCTGTGGCAGGAAAAATAATAAACTCATATATATATATATATATATATATATATATATATATATATATATATATATATATATATATATATATAATTGTTGCAACTGAAACTACACCTTAAAAACGTGACGACCATTGTCATAACATCCAATAATATAATTGTTGCAACTTTGTTGATTAGCTTCAGAATCATTCCTATAAATTTTGTGGCTCAACATTTATGAGATCTGGACCATGATTTTTTTGGGGGGCCTTTGGTAATTTGGCTATGGTTTCTTCCAAAGTCTTGTGTATACTGCTTCAGAATTTTAGATTGTGTATTATCCACTAATTTTATCTTCTGCTTCTATGTAATAATAATTTATTATTGTTCCACGATTTATTATCTTGGACAGTGAGATATTACTGATACAGAGTGGAATGAAATCTTTATTGAGTTTATCAAATTTGTAAGTATGGGTTCATATTTTCTGTGGGACTCTATGTAATAATTATAAGTTGAATGTTGAAAAAGGTAAAATAATAGAACTAAATGATAGAACCTGTTCATAATGAGTGATAGTAAAATCGCTATTTTAGAATTACAAAGCTAATGAATAAATCTCCTGTTATTTATATATTTATGTTTAGATATGTTTACGTTTATTGATATTATTATTATTTTATTTGGACCTTTTATCTAGAAGTATGTGAGATTTACTATAGATCAACTCTTTACTAAATTTTATCTATAAGTTATGATGATAAAGTTTTGTACTCTATCTATAAAGTGTGCTCAATATTTTTGAATATTTAGTTGTATACTTCCGTTTGAATTGTCTAAAAGCAAAACTTATTTAGGAATGCTATTATTTTGGACAAGAGAAAATTGATTCCTGTACAAGAATTTTCATAAATTATTATGGATGATTATCTTGGTTTGTGAAATTTTTTTTGTAATTTGAGGAACGATTCTAGTTTTTTCATGCAATTTATTGCCCAAATGATGTGATTGTGTGTTATAGTTAAGAACTTGTAAACTTGTTTGGGATGAAGCTATTAGGGGTGCATTGATTTAGGTGATCTGTCTGTCCAAATGGAACATATCTCTGAAGTCAGTTTATGCTTGTTGAGCAACTTTTTCTTGAGGTTGTAGATGAAGTTATTCGAGGCTAATTGGTTTAAAAATCAATTTGTTCAAAGGAGATGGATTTTCAAACACAATGTTGTGCTCACTGATTAACTCATGAGATTCTGACATTGGTTTTGATATTGATTTGTGTATTCTACTCAAAAGAAAATGCATTATGTTGGCCTTATTATGACAATTAATTGTTGTGGTCATTTTCAAATCATTTGAGGTTCTGGCCTTGGTTATAATATTGATTTATGCATTCTACCTAAAGGGGAATATATTATTCATTATACTTTCTTGCTTTATAGAAATTGTATCTTGCCATGTAGTTTCTTCTAATGCATTCCTATTTTGCCATAAGATTATACTTTTCTATTAATTTTTTCTTTGAATCAATTTGTAAGTGTGTTTAGATAATTTCTTGGTCAATATTCTTGAAATAGTTATTTTATTTTTTGACACATAAATATTTATATTCCTTTTTTGTCAAATTTTAATTAATGAAAAATTAT